CGATGTACAAGTTGGACACCAATTGAATACCCGTCAGACTAGCCTTGATCTTGTTCGTCGCACCCTCGTACTCGTTCTTCGCCGACATCTCACCCAGTCGGAGGACGAGCACGTCCGGCGATCGTTCCGGATTCGAGGGGAAGATCATGATCGGAGACTTGACAGACACGTCAAACTGCATGCGCTCGATCTCAGACGCGCGCTGCACAGCGACCTGAGTGGCAGCATCGTACAGACCCTTCAACCGCGCCAACTTGAGAAGGAACAGGTAGATCTCGTGCAGCGGCTGCTCCAAAAAGTGGAACTGCACCGACGCCGCATTCAGGTACACGGCGGACTTGACCCCGCTTTCTTCGACGTCGAACGTCTGGTACCGGAACTCGGCAAAGTTCTGGCCCTCGATGGACAGAATCTGGCTGAATTCATCCCGCACTTTGTGGAAATCATTGCTCAACGCAAGACTACCCAGTCGAGCAGAGACTTGCATGGTCTTCGGCAGCAAAAGCACGGAAACATCCGCAGTAGAGAGAGACAGAGTGGCCAAATTCGTCATCCCGTTCATCAGAATCACTGCACCCAGCTCAGTCGTAGACCACCACGAACCAGAAACAGGCGAACAGACCTTGGACACTGTCCAATTTGACCAGCACACGAATCTTCCCGTCCGAGGCAGAGGGCGTCTGGACATCAGCAGGCTCGACTGGCGCCGGGGTGTTGCTGGACTGTGGCACGAAGGTGGTCATAATGAAGTCATACAGCGTCAGCACGGGCTCAGGCGCAGCACGGAAGATGAAGGTGGACAACTTGATGTCGACGCTCTGATCGATGCCCTCGTATACCGTGGTGAACTCGGGCGATTCTTTCTGCGCACGTCGGTACGTCAGGCTCAGGAGATCGCGGTCATGTGACGAATCCGCCTCTGGGGAAGACACGAATTTGATGGGATCTGCTGAGGGCTGCAACACACTCATGGACAACGATCTGCGACGCCACGTTCAGCCTGATTTCGCGCAATGTGCTGCGTTATACTCACCGCAGATTCACGTCCACTTTCATGTCAAACTTGGCAAGAGCAAATCCAAGCGAAAACTTTTCCAGGGTAACATCGCCCAGTGACTTCTCGACGCCATCGCTCCCCGTCTTGGCCAAGGCAGCGCGCAGATTGTCGACCTTGAAGTCGAGCTCAAAGATGTGCTGATGCAATTCAGGCAGCTGTTCAGTCGGTTCAGCGAAGAGTCTGGTGCATGCAGATCGCATACTTGAGCCGAGCCATCGTCAGCCTCGAAGAACGTGTCTTCTTCCGACTCAAGTTGTTGACTCTCATCATCATCTTCGATATTGTACTCCCGCTCAGTTTGCGCGAATAGGCCCGTGGGGAGTTGAAACGAGCTTGGACCGGGCTTGACTATCGGCCGAGGCTGGTCGTCGTCCCCGAACTTGGGAATGCACACATCAATCAAGCGCATGAGAGCCTTGTACTTGTTATCCGACACATTAACCTGCAGACTGGGCAAACTTCCAGACACTTTGAACCGCGCAAGATTTAGGGCTGTCGGCACAATTGAGTTCTGCGCCTCCAGGTCCAGGTTGACTCGCTCAAGCAGATGCAGCGAGTCCCCACCCTCCGAGGTCAGAGCATCTTGGCAGGACTGGAGATCATTCCCCAGCACGAACTATTGACAGCTTCAGTCATGCGTCTTTGCTATGGGGCACGGCTGACCTGAGCAGCTTCGAGACGAATCGAAAGCTTGTCGTACATGAGTGACTCCAACTCGCGGTAATCTTCATCGGTATATTGCTTGTTGCGCTTCTGATGAATGGCGCGAATGGCAGATTTGTCAGCCAGATTGCTCTCAATGGCTATGTGACCTGCGTCTATGATCAGGTGCTTGCAGTTGTGCGTGGTCACGCTGTGTGGCTTTGATAAGCAACACGCCGGGAGGCTGGTTGGTTTCAGCACCTTTCTGGGATGATGATGACGGGTGCATTCATGTCCATCTGAATGTCTATGGTCTTGTGAGTTTGCAAAGCGTATTCAAGCCCAGCACGCGTCTCCTTGCGCAATCCCTCAAATGTTTCACTGGCGACATTCTAGAGAGAGTCAGACGCCAAGCCCTTGGGACGCAATCCGACACGTACCAATAGGGCTTCGACCGATTCCAGCTGGCTCGCAGGCGGCTTGAAGAACTTGTAAACAGCCTCGACATATCCTTTGTGGTAGATAATCGACATGTGCCTCATTTTGACCGTCAGAGCATTATCGGCCCGCTCATCCAGTGGATTATGCTCGAATTTGATGAACAAGAATGGCTCGGGCACGGGTTTCTTGTCGCCCTCGATCTGGATTCCATAATCACCTGACCGCGGTAGATGAGTCTGATGGCCAATCAGATTTAGAAGTAACGACTTGCCGTCCTCTCGGTCCTTGACACGGACAATTTGAGGATACAGCGAGTTACTCGTGGTTCCATCAAAGATGCTGAAATCTCCCAGGGAAAGCGATGCATCGAGATTGTCCGTCCGCTGGATGATGTCGGCCTGGAACAGCCCGAACACGACGGAGACCGCGTCTGTTGTGCGCTCTTCCGTATGCGTTTTGAGACCAAAGGTGCCTTTGTTGAGTTTCGCCATAATCCGAGCTTTCACGGAGTCACGTGGGGCGGACAGGCCCTCGAGCACAGCGGACTTTTCATCGTAATCGAGGGCGTCGTACAGCTGCTTGCGCTGTTCGTCGGTCATGGCACCCCCGAACGCGGGGTCCTCTTGACTCGTGCTTGCATCTGACCCAGACGAGCCCCAGATCCAGGAACCCCACGTCTGTTTGACAGGTTCTTTTGTCTTGGCCTGCTCCAGTTTCTTACGCAGGGCCATGTCTTTGCGCAGACGAGACCGCGCGATCGACCGGTAGAACCGGATGTCCTCATAGGAAAGTTTTTTTTCCAGGTCATCAAGGATCTTGACATCCTGAAAGAGATGAGACCCGGGATCGCTCATTCTGCTTCACGGCTTACAGGCCCGGAGAGCGTATTCAAGGACTTCTTCATGAACAGATCAACGTATCGGTTCCGATCGTCGCGCCGTTCAGCGAAGTAGCCCCACGTCCATTTGCGCCTTCGATCTCGAACCCCCTCCAAGATGGCTGCACCTGCGTATTTCAGCCTGGCCTTGGCGACATTGTCCTTGAACTCGATCTGAGCAGGGCGGTACTTGCGATACTGAAACCGGTTGAGATGCGTTCTTGCACGCTGAGAAAAACCGTACCTGGTGCTGCCGCACATACACGTGATACATATCGACAAGAGATATGATGTCCCGATACTGCTTGTCGTCCAAGGCGACTCCAATCTCATCAAACAAAAGTTGCACATCGAATTGAGGCGTCTCCTTGTCGAATCGGTGGTTCATGATCACCTAGTAGTAATTCACGCGGTCATTTCATAAACCGGGGAACATGAACGCACCCGTCCCTCTCCAGAAACAGGCTTCAAAATGAATTGATGGCTTGCGTCCCGGGATTCCGTGGATATCTTGGCGTAACGTTTCAGTCCGAGCCTTGCGGAAACGAGGGGAAACAGACCAGAGCGGAGAACTTCTTGATCGCCTCACCCGGAGATAGTCCAGCCATACTCGCAGAGTCTGTGTCAAAATATACGGCCAGCGATTGCAGCTTAGCAAGCTAGCCATGGTGTCAGCGGCATAGAGACACCAAGTGGACCGAAATGCCTTGTGGATGGCCCCGGCAGTGCTTTCTATGAAAGCAGCTTGCCAATGGTCGTTGACCGACACTGCCGTAAAGCCAGCCAGTGTCACTCCTGCCGCAAACGGATGCTGACGCGTGTGTTCAGTCGTGCTAATTTCATTCACGCCAAGAAGACCCACCCCCGGCACACTAAGTTTGTCTTCATAGCGAATATGAATGTTCTTCACGGTCACTTGCACATTGTTGATGATCTTGGCAGTCAGAGACTGGATTAATCCCTGGGATTGGGGAGAGTCATCTGATCGCGTTAATATCCACGCCCCGGCAACGCCCAGATAAATATACGCACCGCTTGTGCTTTCAGCCTGGCCCCGCATATGGAGTAGCTCTGCATTTTCGAGACGTTCTGATTTGGCAGCCTGAGCGCGCTTCTCCTCTTCTTCTGGATTATCATTGGATTGTGGCGAGGGGACCACAAGCAGATACACGTCTTCAACGAGAACTTCGACAGGCTGATTGCCCAAGTTCATCCAATGAAGCGAGAGCGTGAATGTTCCAAGATGTCCTGATAAGGATTGAGCGATCGCGCGCTGTACGAGCCAAATTCTCTGACCCTCGAGAACATCCACGGGGAGTCGGAACTTGTCGAGAGCACCCTTCTTGAGCCGGAGATTCCGCAGTGTGAGTTGTCCTGTGGATCTATCAATGACGTGTTTCGTACGAGATTAATGCGCTGTGACGCGCCTTGTCCAATCCCATAATTCACTTGATTCATGTCCAAATTTTCGACGTAGGGAGCGAGGATCCGATTGAACAGGATGTTCAACACCTCCTTCCCGGGATCGAGCCACCACATGGCGGGCTATTTGGAGATAGAAAGACCGCTGAACTGAGTGTTAAACTTGAATCAGGCATAAGATGAGTGGTGCATGCGTACCAAAGCCGAGGGCCGGGATTGACGTTCACGACTTTGGCGCGGGGAATTTAGCCTGAGACTTCGATTTCTTAATATGAGGAACTGCGCGCTTCGAGAGCGCTCGTCGTGGAGGTTCGGATGCGAATGGTGTCGCGGTTAAGCTTGGGGGATACTGAAACGACACTGAATACGTCATAGCGCGAGAGCAGATGCCGAACTTGCCGAGTCTCTGATCGCATTTTCGAGGCGCACTCCTTACTCAACATGTTTTCTGTCGGTCTATTCGTTCCCTCTATGAGACTGCATTCATTTGTCACCAGTCATCATCTTCCTTTGCCGAGACGTGCGGTGAGACTCCTTACGCGATTTCGGCCTCATGGACCGCACGATGCACCGCCCGGAACTTCTCGACTGTGCCTCGACTAAATCGCATTCCGGAAACACCCGTGCTCCGCTCGCGTGATACTTAAATACCTCCAGCCGCATTAGTATACTGCACTGGTGCACCACCCAGCAACACTCCTCTAGCATGGCTCTTGTCGCATCACTCCCCACCCCCGTCTCCTCACTCGAGCAAACCCACCGCACGGATGCACCTCTGGTCCCTATTGTCGAGGCAAGATTGTTTGGGCCAGGGGTTCCAGGGCAACGCTGACCCTCTTCCTCCAGCTCGGATCTTCGAGTGAAGCGATTGAGCCATTCAAAGAGTAAGTCGTCCATTCGTTTCGGTCTCGGCCATACCTAACCTACCTCGTTCGCAGGTTGATTCTGCGATCACAAATTTCGGAGCTCCGGCTGTATTGCACGGTTCCTTCGTGGTGTCCTTCTCCAGATCAACGTTCGTTCTTTGCCCACAAGTCGAAGCCTTCGGCTGATTGGTCTCGACCGACTGGCAGACCTTGATTTGCATGACCTGCATCAACTAAAATCACAATTCCTCGCATTTATCCACGAAGTCGTGGGGGAGCTTCGGGCATCCGGGGTAAGCACCGAGTCTTCCGTCGTTCTATCCCCGCCCTGATGACCATCAGATCTCTGCTTCCTATGTCCTGGTTCCCTCATGGTCGTCCCGGTGCATAATATGCACTGGCGGATGCTCGTCGCTGGCCACGGCGGTGAAACAACTTCAAAATGTGACCCTCCCTCACCGGTAAGTTGTAACAAGTTCCGGTCCGGATCACATGCCAATCCTTCTCAGTCATAACGTACTGCTGGCTGAGGTGGGATGTCCCGGCCCTTGCCTGATCTTCACATAAACTCCCTCTCGCTCGCTCTCTACCGCATTTGTATTTTTGGGGCATACATGGACTACATATTCACACATACTCTGAAGACTGATTGAGAACTGGAAGCCACTCAATGCTTTGGGGAAGCGCGATTTCACATGCTGCAATCAATGGTGATATGGACCGGGAACCCACGGGCCGATCAGATTTTTTGGCTGGTCTCCCCCAACCAACAAGTGTACTTCTTGGTCTACTACTTCCTCGTCAACGGTCCTTTCGTCCTCTGCAACATGTCTCTCGCTGATTCAATCCTCCGGGTGACGCCCGTCACCCTCCCCCGCCACCTCACGTCGTTTGTGCAGGGCCAAACGCCCATGTCCACCACGCCCGTTGTGCTCAGCACACTCGCAGGGTACCTCGTCACGATCTTCGGGATTCAAGCTGCCATGAAAAATCGCCCTCCCCAGAAACTGAACGCCCTCTTCCAAATCCACAATGTCTTCCTCAGTAGTGGAAGTCTTCTGCTACTGGTCCTCATGGCGGAAGAGATAGTTCCCATCATCTGGAAGCGAGGTTTCTACAATGCTCTTTGCTCCGCACAGTCTTGGACTCCGGTGGGTCTCATTCGCGACATGTAAGGCTTGTGCTTTGTCTGACTGAACGTACAGCGATTGGAATTCTACTACATGATCAACTACTACTTCAAGTACATTGAGCTCATCGACACCGTGTTTCTTGCTTTCAAGAAGAAGACCCTCGGTATGTCTCGCAACTCCTCGGCGCGTCCCTTGTGTCTGAGTTCCGAAAGCTTTCCTCCATGTTTTCCATCACTCTGCCACGGCTCTTCTCTGCTATTCTCAACTTCTCGGTCAAACCAGCATCGTAAACCTTCTCTCGCCCTCGCCATCAAGTTGGCTCATACCTGCCTTCTAGTCCTGGACTGTTATCATGCTCAACCTCGCTGTTCATGTTCTGATGTGTCCGTGTGTTGGCCACTGCACTGTTCCGATTATGCTGACTCCGGGCAGACTACTATTACTATGCCACTGCTGGAGGTGCTAGGATCTGGGTTAGCTCTTTCTGTCGGATTCTCTTCTCATTCTCATTTCCTTTGTTCACAGTGGAAGAAATACCTCACTATGATGCAAATCATACAATTCGTGATCGACATATCCCTTGTCTATTTCGGAAGTCAGTGATCGCTATGATGTCCTTCGTGTGCCACTCAAATTCATCCAGCTTACGGACATTTTGCGTCCACCTATTACGACGGGATCCTGCCTCACATTGGTGGCTGCTCTGGCGGAGAAACCGCTGCACTTTTCGGCTGTGCACTATTAACCTTCTACTTGGGCTTATTCATCAACTTCTACTTCCAAACTTACAAGAAGGGACCTAAGAAAGTGCACGCCAACGGCAAGGCCAATGGGACGGCCAATGGGACGGCCAATGGGAAAACGTATGCTCTCTTGCTTTCATTGTTTGCCGCCTGCTCATTGTCCATAGCGAAAAGATTGATTGAGGATAAGCCTCATGACGAGGACGAGATGACTGTGGCTGCGCGGGAGTAGATCAGGCACCGAGTAGATATACGGGCTATCTAGTACCATTGACCGGCTGGTAAATGGACACATTTGACGCACTACTCAAGTATAAGGCTCAGGCACCCATGTCCGATGCTCGACCCGTTGACACCGCCGTCACCAGGTGATGATGACAGGCGCCGCAGTGACAGCCGAGTTGATCTAGCACCGCGCCCTTTCTTTCAGTTAACACTGAAGCGACCCACCCACCATTGCACCTGTACCACCACTGCTTTTCCCACTGAGAATACATGTCCGCGGGCCTCAAAGAATTCCTCGTCTCGGCGGAGATCTACGTCTCTCCAAACGCCGCCGGCGCTGCCGCATTGGGCTTCCGTAAGGTTCGTTCCGGACTGCTTGTGTACCGATGCCACCCTCTCAACCCCAGTCACTTTCTAGCCCGCGATACCGAAACGCAAGGTGGATAAGCGCGACTCTGTACGGCCAGGTGCCCCAGACGACAAGAAACTACGAGGTACCTCTCGCCTGGTCGCTAGGTACCCCACCCCGCGCTCAACTTCCTGCCAGAGAAGAATAGCTGGCATACGCTGGCTCGTGGAACGTCTGGATCGGGTCAATGGAGGCAGGCGACATGCACGCTCACGGAGGAGGGAAGCCGATGTCTTCTGAACATCTACATTGACGTGCGTTGCTAATCTCGTCTTTGTGGGCGCACGCGTAATCCTGTGAGATAGGATTCGTTCCTCTTCCAAACTGTATTCATCCATCTTCTCAACAACACCGACATCCGTTTCACGGACCGTTCGCTGTTCTTCAGAAAGGATTGTCTAGGCATCTTTTGTTTGGGGTGGGTCTCGTTGTCAAGTGTTTCACCCTTGTATTCTGAGACTCCCTTCCTAGTTCGCAGCGATGGGTATCCAATTCTGCACATCCAGCCGAACCTGTATACTTGCAGTTCTCCAATACCGACACATGCAGTACATGGCTGGCTCTTCTTCGGTCGTATACCATTCCTGAGATATACGGACGCCAACTCAGGGCCGACGAAGGCGGATCATATCGAATGTGGCGGCAAGTCGAGTTGACTGTGATCCAAGCGCGCAATCTGGGCAATCCTCGACCGTTTGACCCAGCCGGTGCAGCAGTCATCGGCGGCTCTGAAGAAGCAGATCCAGTGGACCTCAAGGTGTCTTGCGAAATTCACCTCAACACCATGCTATGTGGCCGCACGACCCTGAAGAAAGGGCTGAACACCCCCGACTGGCACGAGCAATTCACTTTCCCGGATCTTCCACCGTTTGACACGTTGGATATCTTCGTGTGGAAGGAGACAAAATTGCCGCGGCCGACACTCATGGGTTCAGTGCGTGTCACGCTCTCGAATTTCAAGCGAGGGGAAGCGATAGAGGGCTGGTTCCCTGTATTATTACCCGGACCGACTGCCAGCGATCTGCAGGTTGGAGACATCCGTCTGAAGATCAAGGTTGATGAGTCAGTGGTTTCCAAATCCCATGTTTTGGTGATTGACCTTTATCAGAGAAATTATTCTCCCCTACGCCGAATACACGAATCTGCTGCAGGTGCATGTGCTGCCTATCTATCCGGTGATCCCGCTGACCTTTGTAGACTTTCCGAACTCGGAACTTCTTGGACTGGCTGTCCGACTTTGATACCAAATTGAAGCTCAAGAATCTATCTCACCAGTTCATTTCGATTGCGGTCGCCCGGGATGACCTCATTGAACAAGTGCAAGAGACCGCAAAGCGTGAAGTCGATGGAACTCCAACTTGTTCGTACCCTTGCTGTTGTATTCTGACGCGCGGTGAACTCTTTGCAGCACATCAGACATTGTTCCGCGGCAACACGACTTTCTCTCGAGTGATGGAGTCCTGCATGTCCTGGTATGGCAAGGCTTTTCTGGAGGCCAGCATCGGACGGGTGTTGCGCAGGCTTTGTGCGGACAAAGTGAAGATTGAGGTCGATTTCCAGCGCGGAACCAAAGGTGGGAAAGAAAAGAGTAGTAGGGAAGTTGAGCGCAATGTGGACTCCTTGGTATACTGGTGCCGGGAATTCTGGAACCAAATCTATGCTGTGCGAATGGAGTGTCCTATGTGAGTCCCTTCTGGCTAGCTTCGACACGGCTGATGACCTGCCAGCGAAATGCGACGCCTCTTCCAAACCGTACGAGAGCAGGTGACCAAGAATTACCGCATCAGCGAAAACGATTCGCCCGAGAATCGGGAGCTCCCGCTCAAAAGCGTATCAGCTTTCTGTTTCCTGAGATTCATCGTGCCCGCCATTCTTAATCCTCACCTATTCGACCTATGCCCTGGTTGGTGTCTTTTCGGTCGTCGATCGCGTAGGCTTACTCCAGGATCCAGGTCTGCCCGATGCCAATGTCCGGCGGTCTCTGACTTCGATAGCGAAGGTTATCCTGAGCATTGCAAACCTGACATCGGTGCGCCATTTCATCCGTTCAGAGAGAGTTTCCTGTCTGATCCCGTTCGCAGTCGGTGCAGAAAGAGGACTATATGCGCAATGTCAAGGACCTGATGCTGGACAGTCGTCCAGCCATGGTGGATTATCTAATGACGGTGTCTAGGGCCGACCGAGTTGCTGTCGCGAGGTGCGTGTGCTCTGCACGAGCGTGTCATGTGTCTTTCTAATAAAGCTAGTCCATCCCACCACTGGAAACATGACGACTCACCCGACGGCGAAGTACATCAGCGATTGGCAGTGGTCAACGCACTGAGAACTCGAAGAATGCTGATGCCTGTGCTGAGCCGGGAGTCCATTCCAATGCCAGCTGTTCCCGACGTCCCGAAGCAGCTCGCGATTATAGCATCTGCTGTCATCCGCAACGCTCGAGTCAATTGCCCCGACGACCCCGTTTTGCACGACTTCTGCCAGCGATGCATCGAAGTGGAAGAGTCGGCTCTCCGTCGGGTCAGTCAGATGGCCTCTCGCATGGGAACTGAAGCAGAGCGAACTCGACGACCCGAGCACTCGTCCTCGCTGTCGGTTTCTGCGTCGATGCCCTCACCGAGGAAACCACGCCGGCCGTCGACCGCGCCGGACCGCGCCGCTGCCGGCCGGCGCGCGGTACCCCAGCCGTCAGTGCAGTCTCCGAGTGGTTGGGCCGAGACGGCTGCAAATGTCCATGCCCACCGACGGGCGCGCTCGTCATCGACGGATTCCGTCTCGTATCCAGCCAATCCGTTATCGCTGGAAGCGGAAGAAGAGAAGAAGAAGCGAGGTATATTTGGAATGAAATGGCGCAAGTAGGAATTGTACAACAAGCATTATACAATGTAATTATCCGGTAAGTATGACTGCTGCAGATCTAATATGTACAATGTCTGGTGTCTGTAATCATTATGCTTTGAGCGGCTTTTGCACAAGTTTGAGCACTTCGCTTGCTACTTGCTCTGATGTGCTTCGAACAGTCAGTCGACACAGCTGCAGCGGAGAATCAGTCACTGCTGCCTAAACCAAGAATCGAAGCACAAACTTTGGCATCCCGATTGGGCTCGAGCCGCATCAAGCAACCGACCTTGCCTTCGACTGCCATATGCAGCACACCAGCAGCGACGATGTTGTTGGGGTTGGGGTCAATCTCGTCGAGCACATTCAACTGGTATCCGCTGACGACGTTGCGATGCTTGACCAGATCCAGCTGTCCCACGCTACTCAGCTCAATGGGGAAAACAGACTGTGCTTCTCGAGGCGGCCCGCCGATGACTTTCCACCGCTCGAAAAAGTCGGCTGCACCCAGTTTGACGTGCTCGAAAAACTTGGTCACAACCACTGGCAGTCGGATCGACAGCGTTTGGTGCGAGCCCGCCAGGAACGACAGACTCAGCACAGGCGGAGTAGCGAAGAATTTCTTGCATTCCACATGCAGCAGCTGCTGCGACTGGGTGCGAGGTGCGATTGTGCTCGGTGGAATCTTGGCAAATGTCACAGACAACGCCTCCGGATCGCTGATGTGCAGCGAGGCAGTGAACGAGGTCAGCGCCGTGGGGACTTTGTTTCCGATGTACACCGCGAGCTGGCCGATATGGCCTTGGTATCGCGACTTGATCCCGATCTGGATTTGCACATCCTCGTACAGAACACCTTCGGTACCCCAAGTCAGCTTGTCGAACCACCGGTCGACATCGGGGCCCATGGCGATCCTCGGCGCCCCATTTTGCGCCATGGTCGAGAACAGATCCTCGCCGCGGTTTGGTTCGGACATTGCGACCGGTGATGCAGAAGTGAGATCGAGACCGGCCAGCGACCCCAAAATATCTTGATTGTCTGTTGGTGAAGCTGCTGCACCATTCGTCTCGACTGGGGCCAGCGTCGTCTTCTTCGCAGCTGCCCGGTCGAGCTGAGCCTCCTTGCCGCCATGGACCCAGGTTCGCTTGTCCCCAGTATCCCCATGTTTGGCGTTCAGTCGGCTGAGCAACGCACTCACTCGGGGTGGGAACGGTGGCATCTCTTCGCACACGTTTTGCAGAATCTCGTCTTCCTCCGGCCTGCGTGCCAACGCATAGAATTCGCACGCTCGCTGTTGCAGTTCCGCGTCCAGCACATGCCGGTAGCGCTCAAATACGTTCAGCAGCTGCGGTTTGATCTCCGGGAAAACGTTGACCCATTTGATATACGTCGAAAGGAGGAGAGAACGCGTCGAAGCAACACAGAATTGTGACTTGGAGTGCAAGACCTTGAATTGCTCGATGGGGCTGTGTCCAGCCTCGTTGGCGATAAGATGCCCGTATTCGCCGAGGATATAGCCTTTCTCCGAGCTTCAGTCATGAAATCCAACGAGATTGAACTTCCACCAACCTCCCACTTTGACCAAGCTTTCGTGGTTTGAGGGCGCTTTGAGATGGGCAAAAACAACGCGGGCAGCGTATTCCTGCAGATCTTCGGTGTTGGTCACGATCTGGACGACCCGATACCACACCTCATCTCCCACGTGATCCCCAGCAGTGCTGATCAATTGGAGGATAGTGTCCACATACCACTTGTACGAGCTCGCATATTTCTCCGTTAGAATGGCAATCTTCAGCACCATCTCCTCCCGCAACGCGTAATCGGCAACACCGAGATACCGCAAGAGCTCGCCGAC